AAAGACAAAAACAAAAAAAAAAAAAAAAAATCTAAAAAGGGGTGTGTTTTTTTTTTTTTTTTTTTTTTTTTTTTTTTATTGCGTGCTTTTGCCACCTTCTAAGTCAGGGGTGCTCAAAGTGGGACCTCGAGGCCCGGCATCCTGCATGTTTTAGTTCTCTCCCTGGTTTAATGCACCTGGATCAAATGATGGCTCATTAGAAGGCCTAAGAGGAACATTGACATGCTGAAAAGGTTGTTACTACCACCAGGGAGAGAACTAAAACGTGCAGGATGCCGGCCCTTGAGGACCGACTTTGGGCACCCCTGCTCTAAGTCATGCCACCCTGCTTGGTGAGCCTCATTAGCTTCAACAGAAACAAACACAGAAATGGAATGAAGGCAACAAGTCAGTTTTTCTCTGTGTGGACTTTTACAACCTATCTGCCTGAAGATCTGCGTGTGTTCATGTACCTGCATGTGCATGTAGCGCCCCCACATCCGCTCCCCCCCCACCTCAAACACCAAAGCTGACCTTCAGCCGCAGAGGCCAGGCGAACAGCACAACAACCCGCAGCAACGGAAAACACAAATGCTTTGTGAAAGCTTCGACACGGTGCGTTCGCACAAAAATGCCAAAATGTCACAATCTTCAAACTTTGTGTCCACAACACAGTTTTTCTTTTTACCTTTGTGAGGCTCCTGAAGGTTACCTGCAAAAAAAATTTCCAAGAGGGTGTCAAAGCTAGAACTGGTTTCTCAAGAGGGAACTAATTTCATCTTGTACTGTCTTCATTGCCCTTGAAGTTTTTCACGTTTTTTTTTTGTTTTTTGTTTCCCTTGTTAACACCAAGAATGAGTTGTGCGCATAAATATAGGAAAAGGAAATTAATTGTGTTTTTGTTTCTTGAGGAGTACACAAAGCTCCCATTAATGAAGGCAACAAAATGAAATTCTTACTAAAACTACAGCAGTTCTGCGAAGACTTCAGAGGTTTGTTAGAGAACAAACCACTAACGGGGACTTCCTGCCGATTGGTGAACAGAGAGGAAGTTGTAGAGAAGTTTGGTTTTAAATCGACATCCAAAGCCTTGAACCTTCTAAGGATTACCGGTGATTTATTTCTCTGAGAACGTGGAAGCGTCACGACGTTACTGATTAAAAACCATAATCAGCGAGCCTTCGAAACCTGACTGAAACATTGCGCTTGGTAAGCCAAACTATATTAACTACATTCAAACACAACATACACTGACGTTAGGGTCATTTTCACAGGCTTGAACTAAAAATTCATTCAGCTTAACTTCCCTGAGGTACCTTGTGGTGGTAGTTTTTCAAAATAAAATAAACTTTAACATTTCATGATATTTACATTGATTTCAGAGTCAGATAATGGTTTGTAAGTGTGCAAATATAGGGTGTATGTAATGTATTACATTTTAATATATATTAAAAGAAGAAACTTAATTTGCATCCTTTTATTTTGATGTGGTGGTTCCCCCACGATCAATTACACATAAAGAAAACCCTACAAAACCCACAACAGATGATTTTCTATAACAAACTCAGGTCAGTGGTGGCAGTATCATACTGAGGGGGATGCGTTTTTTCCATCCCCATCAGAAAGTGAAATTAACATCGGACTGTTTAAAAGATACATAAGACACAATCGTTGTAAGAAAAGGCACTCCTGGAGAGTGTTGTGCTTAAAGGGGCTGAATAAACAAGCATGCCACACTTTTCAGATTTTTGGTTCTAAGTTGTGCCTGTTTTTTCCCGACTTTATGAAAGAGAGGGTGTTCATTTTGCAAATTCTAAAGAAAAAAAATCAAAAAATCATCGAGCAGGCAAACTAATTTTTTAAAAAGCAGAGACAACAGGATGTTAGGAAAAGAAAGAGGGAAAGGCCTGCGGAGAGGTTTTGTGTTCTTCCTCTCATCTGCATTCAGAATCGCATCTTGGTGTCTTTTAGCCCTGCAGTGAAGTTTCCTCTGCAGGGTGGCACACAGGGGGAGAAGTTCTAGAGCACAGATGCTAAACATCACCGAACTTGGAAGCTCCGAACACGAGAAAGGATTAAAAAGAAGTGAGTCAAATACCCGCGGTGGGTGAACAAGGGGTGTGTGGTGCTGGTGGGTGTCGCTGCTGATGTCACACCCACTCGAACAGCAGCGATTGGACCCTAATTAGAAATCTCGGCAGCAAATAGATAAGCGTCCTGCATGATTGAGCCCAAAGTGGCTGATGCCAAAAAAATTTCTGCAGGGGCGGAGAGGAGCGGAGCGGAGCAGACGGAGAGCTGCCAGGCTGCGCTGACAGCACAGAGGCTTCACATCCGACGGGCTCAAGGCTGGAGCTGGACTTTCTACAGCGACACCCTCCGCGGTGATAATATCCGTCCAGAAAAAAAGAAAAAAGAAAAGAGAGAGATATCTGTATACATACAGAGAGGGGGAGACGGTAGAAGAAGAAGCAGAGGAGAAGGACGCGGCGTTGTTCGGAGAGGCTGACGAGACAAGTAGGAAGGAGAGTCGGCTCCAAGTTGCTCGCGCGCTCCGCTCCTGAGCTGATGGCATCCGTACTTGGAAACGGCAGCCGCGCGTCGGGCGCTCCGAGCGGCCAGGTCCGGTGCAAGCTGAAGCGAAGGAGGAGGAGGCGATCCAAGAGAAAAGGTACGGCAACTTTTTAGTTTTCCCGTTCCCCCCCCTCCTCCCTCCCTCTTTTTTTTCTTTCTTCCCCCACATTTAGACTGAATAGGCGCGCGGCGGCGGGGCGCATCGTTCGCTCGCGCGCTGCGCTTCGTAACTGTCCGCGCGGTGAAATTCTCTGTTGAAACGCCGATAAGCGAACAAATAACCGGCCGCCTTGTTAAGGTCTCTGTTTCAGCGGCGCATACAGTCTCTCTGCTCTAAAGTTTACTTTGGACTACATTTATTATTACTTCTCGTTCAACCAAGATGTACAAATTACAAGAGATTTTATTATATATATATATATATATATATATTTTTAACTAATTTACATGGATGCATCTATTTTTTGAATCGTTTAATCGGTATCTTTGCGGTAGATCTAATTTTTAAACTCTTATTTCATATTTAATGCCCTCTGCCCTCTGTTAAAGATGGAAAAATCAACATTTGTGCGAACTATATTTAGATCTCTCAGAAAGATTGCAGGGATAATCCTGATAATTTTCCTAATGGGTGCCCTTTTGCCCCCCTCTCTTCCATAAAATGTATTCCTCCTCATGGCTTTGTAAGTCCAGCACTCCAGAGAAAAAGTCACATGTTGGACGAGCAATCAAGGCCCTGCATGTCAAAAAGGAAACGGAAAAAGGAGGTTGAAAAAAATTCAAGTCCTCCCTGAACCCCTTTTTAATTATTATATATAGTTTTAAAACTCAGTTTAAATTTTTCAAATCAGTTTCAGTGCATTCAAACGAGTCCCAATCGAGTACATTAGTATAGAGTGTAAAACAATCAGCTGGATTCATAATGGGAACAGAAAAGCATGCTGATTTCACTGACTTTTCCTCACAACGCCGCAGCCAGCTCTGTAATGGATTCTGATGGGGGGGCTTCATGGTAAACAAATCTAACCCCCCCTCCCTCGCCCCTCACACCGCCGTGCGGTTTTATGCCATCTTTACCAACGATATTACATCAGACTAATGCATGCTATCAAAAATAATAAAAACAACCTCATTTCATGAAGCATTTGCACCTCTCTGCCTCTCGCCGAGAGACGCCAGATAGTTCTGCGTTTGCAGAACTGACCACACTTTGCCGGCCGTCGTTCGACTCGATCTGTGATTGCTGGGTAATTTCACTCTTGTTTTATGTTGCACTTCAGGAAAAAAAAAAGGAGGCAAAAGAAAAGCAACAGAATGACATTTTGGAAAGAAGAATTGGTGGAAGCTTCAATCCTGCAGCACGTTGAAGGTTATTTCCTAAAGCATTTCAGCAATTATCATTAAGATGTCAAAAGCAAATTCGTGTTGTTGCATCACGATAAATGATTGTATCTTTTCGCCCCTTTCTTCGTCTTAAGCACCTCTATTAAAACCAGCTGCAGCACGTTTAGCCCTGTGTGTCCGTGACACCACGACAACGGTGCAGTCCGTGCTGCCGAGACACTGATGTGAACGTGGACGGAAGCTGACGTATCCGGCTGCGAGCGAACATATAACGAACTCCCGTAAACACTTTTTTTTTTTCCGCCTGTCATCAAAGTGCAAAACAGACGACCACAAACTTAATTTCCATAACCTCTTGATTTTTAATAGCCCAAGTAATTGAGACAAGGGAGACAATACATAAAATATAGTGCCGAGGCAAATGTATTTACATAATGGAAACGACAGAATTGGTTCCACAACATTAAGCATTGCATATGAGCGCCGCACAAACGCCGGCGCGCACATTAGCCGTCGGGGCCTTTTGGGGGAGGCGAGAGATGGGGGTTGTGGTGTGTGTGTGTGTGTGTGTGTGTGTGTTTGCGAGGTGAGGGCTAATTTATCAGCGCTGCTGATTCACTCTGATAACACAGGACATTAAGGGGCCCCGGCTCAGGGGGCCGTTTGGAAATGAACTGTGTCCGTGGCCGGAGCTGGATCCCACACTTTAGATATGTTCTCCCTGTTTTCATGCGTTTCCTAAAGCGTGTGATTATTATTATTATTTTTCCCCTCACTTCAGACTTCAGCACAGATTATCCATAAGCCTGGCCAAATTTTCATTTTCTTCCTCCTGGTGTCAAATCTTTTCCTCAGAAATGCCAAACGATTGTCATCTTCAGATTTTCACACAATTATTTTAAAGCGAAAAGGAGGAAAAAAAAAAAGTCAGAGGGATTACTGCATGGCATTTAGGGCTTAATCTCTTGAAAAGGCTGCAGATTATTTGTAGATGGACTCGCTAAAACCTTTGTGTGCATTCAAAAGGCTGCAGCTTCTATTAATTTCACTTTTTTTTTTTTTTTTTTTTTTTTTTTGGCAGTCTGACACCATTTGGTTAATGCTTTGAATTCCTAGAAATCACTGCGTTCCCCCAGCTTTACCTTTAAACATTTCCAACAGCCCTCTTTTCCTTTCCTCGGACCTCTCTCCGTATCGGTTTACCGTTTATTTATGACCGTGTTTGACCGGCCTTTTAATCAATCACAGCCTTTTAGCATCTCCAAAGGGATGCCGCTAACACGAATAAAATCCGGCGCAGTAACACCTGAGTGGATGCACCGCAGTCCAGTTTTTTTCCCCATGAAGGCACTCTGTGGATTAATAGCTGTCAATCATCTGCGTACGGTTTGACTGTGGGGTACAGTCCTTCCTCTGTATCCACAAAAATAAAGCAATCCAGAGATTTATGTACCAACATTGCTTTTTTATTTATTCTTCTTATAGCTACACTTATCAGCATGTGGTCCCAGTACAGTATATCAGCATGTCATCAAGAGTACCGGTGGGGGGACGTGAAAAACGCAGTGTGTAACATAATTTATGTCACAATTACCGTTTACGCCTTCAGTTGCAGCGAGGCGGCAGCAGAGGAGTCTGGTTTGGGTTTTTTAAAGGAGAGGAGGGGGGGGGAGAGGGGGAAGGATGGGAAAGATGAGGGTCGGGTCACGCAGGATGATGAGGGTCCTCCCACATCCGATCCCCCCCCCACTTCTCCCGGAAGACAGGTGCCTTATTGTGTGACATCCAGAGTGGAATAAGGGAGCGTGAACTGCAGGCGGTTCAGTTTTCAGCACCGCCGGCAGTGATAGAGGGGGGCGTCGAGTCGAGGTCAGAGGTCAGGCAGGAGAGCGCTTTTTAACATCCACACATCCGTATTTGGTCCAAGAGATTTATTACTATGTCTAAGGAGCTTTTTCTGGCAAGCAAAATGGGTTTCTATGTAGATTTTTTTTCTCTTTTTTTGCACCGGAATATTCTAAGCAAACCTTATTTCTTTTAAAGATGAAGCATGGCAACTTTTGGAAGCTCTTTATGTCATGAAAATTGGAGTTTAAAATGACAGAGTATGACTCTGTTTCATCCTAACCACTATAACTTTAAAACATTTGGAAAAATCCAGACATTTTCCGCCTTGGCAGGCATTGGTCAGTTACTGGTATGAAGGTATATCGAGGTTTTAAAATGTTACTTTAGACTGATAAGGCGAAACCAGGCCATTTAAGTGAGTGTGTGTGTGTGTGTGTGTGATGGAGCTGTGGTTGGAATATCCATGTTCACAGCCAAAGAATAACTTCATACAGATGAAACAAAAAGTCTGCAAGCATCCTTGGGCCAGATACAGCAGTCAAGGTACATTAAATCTGTAAAAGGTTGTGGTTTCAAAACCACAAAAAACAATTTATCCTTTTAAAGTGGTGTAAAAGTCATCTTTAAGGGTAACTTCTTAGGTTCTTTTGGAGCAGAGAAGTTCAATGTGTGAAAAAACCAAGATGTACAAATGACTTCTATCACTATAGCAACTTTTTTAAAAGTACAGATGGAGAATCTGTTAAGCAACAGAAAGCAGGCCAAGGACTCTGATTATAGCCTGATTTAGTAACAAGCTAATCTCAGTATGCACTCAAAACTAATGCTACATTTATTAGGTGTTTATTTTGCATTTCTACTTTACAAAACTATTTTTATTAAAGAGTTATATTTGTTAAGCAGTAGTAGTTTTTCAGGAACACTGGCGATGCACCGAGCCACTTTTTTTCCACTTCCGACACCGATGCAGACATCTGAGGTTAAGTGTCGGCCGATACCGATCCGATCAGAAAACCAGTTCAATTAAAAAGTTTCCTTTTTTAAACAGACATAAATCTACTAAGTTGCAAATTTATTTGATAACTCCACATCAAGTACCAAACACTTAAGTATTATGGATCGTTCACATTGTCACGGATACCAATCTATAATTTTTTTTTTCAAAATTGAGACCAATATAGATATTATCAGATTGGTACATCTTTAGTGCATTCCACTTTTTGCTCAATTACCGTTGGAAATATGCAAACCTCCCTGACCTCTGTGACCCCGAGAGGATACCTGAGTACTGACAATAGATGGACGAATGGGTGTTGTTTTTTTTTTTTTGTTTTTTTGGTTAATACAGTAAAACTGTTATATTTATGCATTTTTAAGTTATTGTACCATGAGAATCTCATATCGCCACATACTTAGTTTTACAAGGAGAAAAGAGAACGTCATGTAAACAGGAGTCAAGATGTTTCCCCAAAAAGACAAAAAACCAAGTCTCGTGTTTGAGTTTAAAGTGCAGGTTTGTGTTTGACTTCTTTTAAACCCTCTCTGCCATGATTCAAACAACGCTTAAATTCTTTTTACAGGAAAGGTTTGACAAAAAATCCATTTTTCATGTCTCGTTTTGCGTCTTGCCAACTCGAAGCAACGGCCCGGCTTCCATTCCAGCAGCTGCATGCACATACGTTCGGTGTCAAGCCTGTTTTTTCTCCAGTCATTTTCCTGTCTGCCTCCCCGCTATCATCTGTCAGATTGTGAGAGTTAAAAAAAGAAAAAACCTAAAGAAAAAAAAACAACAAAACAATATTTCAGTGGAAATGCTGTAACCGCTACAGCAATTTTTAAGCAACGGCACAAAGCACAGTGACAAACGCATGCAAATTGAGAACACAAGTCTTTGTAATGTGGAGCACAATGAGCACATGGAGGCTGAATGATGGCAGCAATAAAAAGCTAGCTGTGAGGAATAAATGAAAATATATACAAAAAAAAAGAAAAGTCAGGAATGTGCTCATTGCCAAAGCTCACTGGAAAAGGATCAGTGGAGTAAAAAAAAGGGGGGGTGGAGGGGGAAAAAAGATTTCTGGTTTTTGTAGCTGCGAGTGCTATTTTTAATCAAACTTGTTCAGTTTTCCTGGATAAAAACCAACTTTGACGGTGTCTGCGAACATGTACACACAGCGGCGTTACGATTCCGGCGTAGGCCCACGCAGAGTTGCATCAAGGCACACGCGTGTAGAGCATCGTGTGGGTTACTCGCTCCAGCGGTTTACTAATGTAGGTTCAATCACAGCAGGAAGGGAAGCCGGGCGGAGGGGGTGGGACTGCTTCCGTGTCGGGACGCCCCAGTGTCACAGCGAGTGTCATGAGAGGACGTGGGGAAGAGATATTTTGCAGATGTGGAGCGCCATTTTTATTTTTATTTTTTCTTTTATTTAGGCCCCTGAAACTCTTCTGCCACATTTGTTTGTGCCGGTGTTGATAATGGCATTAGGAGCTGTGGTGGGAACACCACTGGCATTTATGAGGTTAATGAAGGTCGGCGCCGGCGGAAAACGGCACGGCGCTCTGCTGTGTGCGCTCGCATGGCTCTGTGAATTTACGGGGCGCTTCCTGATTAAAGGGAGTGGGGGGAGCGGCGGAGAGGTCGGTCCGCTCAGGACGCCGCGTCCTCCAAGTGACCGCGCGTTTAGCTGACAGGAGGGAGAAAAAAAAAAAGGTTAGCGCTCCTGACTGTGGTCTCATGAGGACAGCAGATAAAATGACCAAAGAAAAGGAATAGCACAACTTTGGTGCATTTGCATAATTAGTAATTATCTTGTAATAGTCCCTTCTGGCTTTATTCAGCTCTGTGGTAAAAAAAAAAAAAATGTGCTTAAAGTTCAGGAGCAACAAATAACTTGAGGAGAAAAATGAAAAATGACTCACTGGTGCAAACGTTTGGACTCTTCGTGGGCCGCCTCGGCCACGTCTGCTAAGAATAAAACAAAAGTATCAAAAGAACAGATGCAGATTTAGAAGAAAAAAAAAATCAAAAGGTGACACTTAAGTTAATTAGTCTGTTGTTTTATGACTCCCACAGTTGGAAAGATAACGGTATTACTCACGCCTCAAATAACTTGTTGCGCTTGTCGTCATGTCGACCAAACGCAAACAGTTTAATTGAGTTAGTCATGTGTTACGCTCCATCAATCTGTCCACAACAGCTTTCGAAAAACGACGACTACTTCAGGGGAAGACATTGCGAGAGCGCCGCGCCGCTAATGTGTGCGCTCCTGCGTTGGGAAATAAAACTCTGGAGTGTATCAGATGCTGCCTCCGTATGGTAATTTGTTTGCGTGTCCGTTACTGTGTGTGTGTGTGTGTGTGCGCGCGCCACTCCTGAGCATTTGTGTACGGGTGTGCAGCCGTCTGCAGGGGAGCTGCCAGTCCTCATGAACAAACAGGGTGGAAGACGTTATCGCTTCCTGTCGGTGTCTGTGCGTCCGCAGTCCACTAGAAGGGGCCTGACAATGTGAAAGATGGAGCGGAGCCGCTTGGGAGTGAGTGCCAGGTGATTCCGGGGTCGGACGCGAGCGGCGCAGCGGGATGTCGCTGTTGGAAACGCAGCTCTGGAACTTCTCAGCACACACACCAAAGCAGCTTGGAAAGGAGCCTTTTTGGAGAGTAAAGCTTGTGGTCTGTAAATAACCAAACAGCATTTCTAAGCTCCATCAGCAGGTCCAAATCAGTTTTGTTTACTGTCTTTATTATAGTTGCTTTGAATACCCTTTTTTTTTTTTAAAAAAAGTGAAACTAACTTAAGGAGCACCAAATATGGCTTGGTGCACCACATTTACAAAACTTGATGTACCTCAGTGCTAAAAGGCCCATCTGATGAAAGGCTTCAATAAGATGTTAAGAGACAGCAGTCAAAAAGCACATATCTGTTTTTCAGAGCAAAGAAGTGACTGTATTGGACATAGAACCTCAATCCCTTGTGTAGAAGTCTTCATTTTTAGGGATAACTACACTAGCTCAAATGTTATTAATTCCAGGTCAGTTTATTTTGAGCATGCAAATAACTTTGAATTAAAAGCACCGAAATCCAACATTTCAATTTTACAGAACAAAGCAACATAAACTTAAATTCCAGATTCAAAAGGAAAGGAAAGGAGCGTAATCTTATGTTGCATTTCATCTCCATGTGGAAAAAAGTCTGTCCACATGAAATGCTAGCTAAAATACTTATGTAGGGCCAGTAGATGGCACCATCATCAAAATTGAAGACATAAAAATGCAGAACAACATCCAAAACATCCTCTTCAGTTTTTACTATCTGACTCTTCTTTTCTCTATTTTCTCAATACAAAGGGAAACGATGTTCAAAGTTGTACCATTGTTAATTGCTTGTAGTGCAGGGAAAAAAAAAAAAACACAGGAGGTTACAAAAATCAAAATTGGACTCATGCTAAGTTTAGATAGATGCGTCAAAGCCAAGTTTGTAAAAAATCTCTACTTGGATTGTCTTTGTAAAAGTCAGTGTCACTGCCTGCCTCCATGTGGACAGGAGGCACAAACAAAATGGAAAACTTTTTTTTTTTTAAATATCCAGACAAACTTTATCAGTTTACTTCTTTCAAATGAGTAGGGACATATGTAGTGTTCTGTAAGTAATGATCCAACATCACCAATATTTGACTACCAACAGGTTGTCAAATATTGCATTTGACAATCTAATCTCATGCTATGCACATTCTCGATCTGCACTGATGAAGTTTCACTCTTCTCAGGGTGCTGGATGCTAGAAACTGATGGTATGACGAACTTTTTGAGTCGTTAGTGGAATAATTATCTGACCAATTCGAATGCTCATAGAAACTTCAGATTTTTCTTTTTTTTATCTCGACAAAGGTCTGTTCCTGCACAGTGGAACAGTGTGCATTCCACATTATTGATCCCAATAAAAGTGCACTATTCAAAATGGGAACACACACAAAAAAAACAAATGTTGCATAAAATTAGCTTCATGTCCTCATCTTTAGACTTTCATTACACATGTTTATTAATACTACAACATAAATGGTAACATAGTAGTCAGTCTGACAGCAGCTTAAATCAATGCATGGTAACAATAAGCAAGACATTGAGACTTGTCTTGTGTATAATGCATATATGCATCAAGAGCATGCATATGCTAACATTTTCAAGCACACCAAAAAATTAAAGCCTTGCTTTAATGTAGCAGCAAATTTAGCAGCATTCCTGCAACCTCTACAGGGACTCGTCTATTTTGAGAGTTAAAACTCTACAACAGAATAACAATTTAAAAGCACAGACGAATTTAAAGAGAAACGGATTCAGTCAAATTAAAACGGTTTTAAGTTTTCATGGTGGTAGTCCCGTTAGGGCATCTGATCTTTTATTTAATGCACTGTATCTAGACAAGCTCTTGTGTCTAATGTGAAGTCCTGCCAGTAGCAGGCAAGCGCCCCACACATCACAGTGGCAAAACATTCCTCCCGTTTATGATCCTAATTAGCTCTAACTGTGCCATCATCCCTGAGTCATCATGCCTGGAGAGAGGCCACATCGTTTGACGGTCGGTAGTTTCACTATTTCTTCAACCCTCTCCTTTCTTTCTCTCTCTCTCTTCCACCTCTAATCCCACCTCCTTCCTTCCTTTCTCCCACTTTAGCAGCGTTGCACAATGCTATTGTTGTCTCCTGGCTTACTCTGTCATACTCGCAGCACGGTAGCTGCTACCATGAAGAGGCACATATTTCATAAGCCACAAATAGCCAAAGAAGGTGTTTTGAATTTGGGCACTGAGAAGCGGGCTTTCTGTTTGTTTGTTTTTTTTTGTTTTTTTTTCCCCTTTCTTCTTTTTTTTTTTCGCATACAGTGAGTTAGCCAGGAATTAAGCTGCAGTTTGAAAAGTGCTTGGAAGTGGGGGGTGGGAAAAATAATAAAAAAAAAAAAAATCCCGACCGCATGATCGGCATCTGAAGAGCCGTCAACTCCACCCGACTTAAATGTTTTAAACTTAACGTCATGCCTCATCCAGAGCACAGGACAAGAGCAGTGTGTGCCGTGCTGACATTGCAAAGTTAGCACTGACACTCCGCCTCATATGGAATAATGAAATTGGATGAAGCAGCTTAAACGCTGCTCTCGCCATCAGACTCTGTGCCTATTAGAGATAACATTAATGAAGGGGACTTTGGTGGAGAATAGACGCGTCTTTCTCCAGGGTGGGGTGGTGAAGGTGTAGGCCGCAAACGGCATTTATTTCCATTAATGAAGAAGAGTGTTTTACAAGAGGGCCTCTCCAGAGGTTCTCTCTCTAGAGGTTCTGGCAAAGTCCTACACCTTTTTGTTACCAGGCGGGCACGGGGAGAGCACTGCAGCCAGGTCCATTTGTCTAAAAAAAAAAACTTGTTTTAACCTTCATTTACTCAACTTGGGCAGAGGAAGACACTCAATCACAATAATCACCGCTGTCCATCTTTTGTAGATTATTAATGTGAATGAGCAGAGAAGAGTAATTAGCTGGTCTTTTTTGCTGTTCAGCATGTTTTTTTTTTCTTCCCCTTGAGGGCTAAAGAAAGTGGTTTTAATCTGTTGTACAGTGGGTCAAAAAGTTTGTGTACTGCCTATTGTAATGCTAGCTTTTTGTTGTGTAAAATGATACCAAGAAAAATAGTTTCAATTCTTTTTTTAACCTGTGCAGTTCATCAGTCATTTCCTGAGACTAGCTAATTTGAAGAAATGCTGGAAAAGATATAAAAGAATCTTCTAGTTTCAGTCAAATGGCCTGGAAACTGAAGGAACACCGCTCACTAGAGACATCGCTGACGAGCAGCAGAGTAGAGGCTAGCTAACCAATAGCCTGGTAAATTAATTGGTTAATAACTCTTTAGACTCAAAGTGTTACTTTATTAGTACCAGACTGGCAAGAAGTGACAATACACTGAACAGATGTGTATTTGGGTTTTGCTTTTGTTCCCCAACTCTATGTACATCTATTTCAATAAAAATCTTTTGACAATACTAGGCATTTTAGCTAACACTGCTTAA